AGGGACTGGGTGGGTCCCCCTGGATGTCCAGCATGAAAAGCTGAGCAGGTGGAGAACCAAGTCTTGGGAAACAACCTATTTAGGGAGCGAACAGAGGAAGGAGAGCTCAATCCAGAGAGCAGCATCAGCCCAGCCAAGGCACTCCTCTGAGAGGTGGGTTTTAGAAACCTCCTATTTGTCTCCTCCTCTGTGCTTTCTTCTTTCCCCTGTCCATTTTACACAGTGCAATAAAATGACATTTTCTGAGATAACTTCATGTCCTATCTTTGTTACAGAATAAACCATTTTTTACAGCCAATGTCCAAGCCAAAATCTACTGTCAGGCTTAAACCACCTCCCTCCATGATCAGTTACTCTCTCTTATTTCCCATTTCTCACTACACATCTGCCAACATCTCAATCACAGGACTCCTGGAGGCCTTTCCCCTTTAGGGTCTCAGTAGTACATCCACGCCTCACTCTTGATGGTCCTCTCCTCTGGACTGATGTGCCTTACACTCTCCACCTATCCAAATTCCACCCATCCTTCTACTTCCTGAAATCTTTCTTGGCAGCATCAGGCCACACCAGGGGTTCTCTCCTCAGATTTTCACTGCCATGGGTGCTTCAGTAAATATTTCATTGTTCTCAGATGTTCACCTATTTCAAGTACAACCACCTGAGCTGCCTGAAGTTGATCACAAACTTACAGAGGGAAAGGACATGTTCTTCACCTCTTCTGTGCCGATATAGAAGCCACCAGTATTGGTCAGAGAGCTTCCCAAGCAGTCCGGCTGTGTCCCCAGAGCCTCATGAGAAGCACATGGCATGGGTGGCAGCGAGCACCTGCCAGATGGCAAGATGGACTATGGCATAAGCAGGCATGAGAAATTTAAAGGAATACACTGAAACAAAACTTTAGTGTTATTTTGGAATACCTGAAATGATAACGTGTAACATACAGCAGTTAGTAACTGAAAACAATGACTTTCTGACTAAACTCTATAGATTCTATGAAAAGCATATGCAAATCAACAGTTTTAAAACAAATAGCCATATTTTAAATGCAGGAACACAGTATGAGATTGCCTACAATTAAAAGATACAGGAGCAAACAACAAAAATATATATCTGAAACACATAGAAGAAGATGGAAGTCGAGAGTTCTAACTTTGGGTTAGAAACCTAATTAAACCTGAAGCCTAGCACTGAGTTTCCTGCCAGCTAAAGTGAAAAGGGGGGGGAAAAAACCACCAAGAAGCTCTCATGTTGGGAGGTACATGAGTGAGGGATCAGGAACAGAGATCTCGGAGTAAGACACAGCTGGTCCCAGTCCCAGATCCCCATCAACAGCTGCATGCCTATGGACAAGCAAGCACTTCCCTGAGACTCCAGGGTCATGAGGGAAAACCTGCATCTCTCTAGGAGCAGGCTGGGCATAAATGAGGTAACGTATACTGAGTACTTACTATGGGGCTGGCACAATAAATGGTGGTGGTCTTCTTACTGATAATGAGTGAAACATGATAATTCTGCAAGAGAGACAGGACCTACGCTCTGTAAGAAAAAGGACTGGGGGCTATCTTTCTCACACCTGGGTCCACAATGTCCAGCCCTGGGCCTCGCATATAATAAGCACTAAGTACTTATCTGTTGGAAAGTAAGTGAAAACAAACTTTTCCCCTGGTATTACATTCCAATACAACTGCACCATGTACAGTACTCGTGCATGCAAACAAACACAGTGGATAGTTTCTAGCGGTAGTTTAACAAAAGAGTTCTCTACATGGTGATTTTACTCATGTGAGTAAAATTGAGACACAGTTTGGTGAAGTTCAGCAGGAGGCTAAGCGCTGAGATTTGGGTGTACACATGTGTAGACACTAGAAGAGAACTTAGTAAGCTCAGGAATAAATCAAGAGTTTGCTCTGTGCTGCCCAGCAGACCATTCAACGAAAAAGTCCAGCAAGAGCCCAGGGGCTGGTGTCCTGCTCCGGACTTCAGACCTGTTGTGGGAGACCATTCTATGAAAGTGGAGGAGTCTCGCAGCAGTGGGAACAGCCTTAAAGGCCTGTTCAAAGGCCTTAAAGACCTGTTTCACAGATGCCTGGTGAAAATACATGCTCCAGCAGGGCAGAGGTTTGGGGTCTGTCTCATTCTCTGAGGCATGGGTACAACCTGGCAGATCCTGTGATGTTCCAAGTATCTGGGGTGGGGAAAGACACTGTGCGGAGCTTATGGCAAGAAAAGGAGAACCATGATGTGGATTCGTGGGGTCCTGGAGTGAGGGCGTGCACACACAGCCAAGAATCTCACATGCATAAACTGCTGCTGCACCACGAAGTGCCTGTCTGTAGACCATAAAGTGAGCATGTGGTCAGTAGTGGAAACTCACCAAGTTACCAGGCCAGGTGGGCTGACAGAAACCCATATTCAGATGGACAAGGGCATCTGGGATCAGCATGAGTGGGGCCACTGGGCATGAGTGAGCTGCAGAAGCAGGCAAGTCAGACCACCCTGGCAGCCATCTCTGCTGCACCACAGCCTCTTCCCAGCAGACACCAACTGCCACAGCAGGTGGGCCCCTCATGACCAAGTAACAAAGGGGAAAATAGCCAAATGTGACTCAGGACAGGCCAGCTCAGGACAGGAGTGGCGGCTGAAGGAAACGGCTGCATGATGGCTCGATCTTGAAAGACAGCAATCAGGGGAACCCCGTAAGGGCAGAGCCTGGGCAGCACATTCAGATATCAGCTCTGTGTGGAAAGAGAAGTGGCCTAAGGCAATCATACACGTGGATCTGCTGGGCAGGGAAGATGACCTGGTCGGGTGGTCAGGGGACTGGAAGGGAGGGAACGAGAAGGATTCAACTAAAGGAACAGCATCAGGTGTTTTGCAGGTAGTGCCCACCATGGGCATCCACTACAGAAAAGGCACCAAATGGAAGATGGGCAGAATGACTGTGGCTCCATTACCAGATACCCCAGTGCTAGCACATGAGCGGATGGCCATGATGGTGGCATGGGGGTATGTGTGGGTTCCCCTCGTCTAGGTTGACCTATCTCCTGCCACTGTGGAGCATCCAACCTGGCATCCACAGAGACTCCAGGTACCTGATAACTCATGTCTGCAAACAAAGCAGTCACTCAGCACCAACAGACAGTACTAGGCTCTTTCCAATCTGAGGGGAGCAGTGTTATAGAACACATTGCCCCCCACCCCTTTCCTCTGCCCCAAATTCACAAACTGAAGCCCTAACCCTACAATGTAACTGTATTTCAAGGTAGGGCCTTTAGAAAGGTAATTAAGGTTAAATGAGGTCACATGTGTGGGACTTATCCAACAGGACCAGCCCCTATTTTGGGACAACTCAGAATGGTTCTTTCAGCTCCACTTCGCTCTGTAAGACCAGTGAGGCTTTTGTTGGAACTGCACCTGCTCTCTCTGTCCCATCTTGCTGCCTTTGCCAGCCCGCCCCCATAGACACTGATGCTGACAGTGTTCTCTCATAAACTCCATGCATAAAAATCTTCCTGAGGAGGCCAGTCTGAGAAACACAACTTCTCTGGTTTGCTCATGAACACAAATTCAAAGTTCTCCAATGGGGAATCTCCTCCCAGGTATTTCAAAGGTCCCTCAGACAACATATTTCCCCCCAATCTGCTCTTCTCATACTGGTGAATTGGAACCATCAGTCATCTATCTAAGATTACCTAAGCCAGAAACATCAGAAGCATCCCCTACTTCTCTCTCTCCCTCGTAAGTTCTGTGCCTCTACCTCTATACTCAACCACTGCTCAGGTTTTCTGACCTGGATCATTCTGAGGTCTCATACCTTTGAGTTTCTTTGCAGGATCTACCTCCTGCTAAATACAAGGCTTCATCTGTAGCCTGAGCTCTTCTTGGATGTAGTTCTTCTCTTACAGAGCTCATTAGTTCTTTGCTTTCAGCTCTCATCCATACAGAGGTGACTTAATCACCTACATACGTAGCTTCCATATTTCTAAGACAGAGATGTCCATTATCCAGCTTTAAATATACCATGGGCATCTGTATGGCATGTTCCAGAGTCATTCAAACTCAAGCACATCTTTAAGAAACAACTTTTGCTTCTCTCTTTCTCTTGTAGACTCTGCCCCTGATAAGGTGCCCCCCTTTTCCCACCCTGATATAAACTCTGGGACCTGCATCTCCAAAGTGACTCTAATTACCTCAAACCTGATTTCACTTCTCCAAACCACTGTGAGATCTGAAGGCCTACCTCTTGCATCCAATGCTAGTGGTAGACAGAGATGGCAGAGATAATTGTATGGTTTACAACTACCCCAGGGGTAAAGAAGGTGGAGGTGAGAAATGGGAAGCCCTGTGGGCTGGCTCACAGAAGTGTCCAAGAAAGATCAGGCCTGAGGTTTTAGCCTGACGTGCAGGAACCCTCCTTCCCTTGCTGCCTGTGGTAGACAACTGTAGTATCAGATTGTTTGGATGCAGCAGTATTTGTAGATAAATATGCAATAGTTCCTGATTATTCATAGCAAGGTTCAGAAAACACAGCATTATTTTTATCTACTCCTTGGTTGTTCCATTGAAAATCTGCTTATCTACATAGTCTCTTCATCTCAACTAAGGAAAATCAAGAAGTTTTACGTTCTTCACTCCATAGCATATGATTAGCATTTTAACAGGAAGACACTGTGGCTTTTACAAGATTATGAAAACAGATAAACAGTACAGCTTGTTAACTAGGTTGGTGTTTCTCTAAGAAGTAATGCTTATCTTATATAGCTGTAACAGGAATGTTCAGTTTGACCAATCTTTCAGCTGCAATTTATTTTTTTTTTTTACCTTTTTAAAAAACTAAGAATAGCCACTAACAGAGATCTACATTCTATTCGGAAACATCAAAATCCACTTGCAAGGCAATGGAATAAAATGTAGTCTCTATCTCACATGCAATCACAGAGGAAAGATTTGCTTGGGCCACTGAAAAATTTCTAAGTTTTAGTAACTATTAGCACTTTTACCTGCTGCTGTCTCTGTCGCCTCCCTTGTGCAAACTGAGAGAACATCAGCTGCCGATCCAGCAGCTCCATCCTCTGCTGTCTCTGGATGTCCAGCGTGGCTCCCATCCCAATTCTGGCTTCACTGGTGGGTTCTGAAGAAGAGAAGATGGGTTCAAGTGTCCAAGAAAAGAATTTTGCCATCCAGCTGGGGATGCAGAGCACCTGATGCACCTGGAACATTTTGCTGTCGTAGCACAGACCGGAAATCTAAGAGAAAAAAATCCAGTGTGATCGTTTAAATGTAACATCATTAAAAATATATATACATGACACAAAAATCAGCAGCCTCCAAACACTGTACATGGTATTTTTCTTAGTCGTAGCAGTGTTAGGCGATAAGCAAAATCCTCTTCCACACTGCAGAATACTAATCAGTACAAATCAACACAAAACTGAATTTACTCAGTAAAACAAAATTGTTTTTTATTGAATTAGAAGAGCTAGTAAAATTTTAATCATTTATTATACAAAGTTCTGGTAAAAGACTGTCAGGATACTGTGTTCATTTTTTAAAAGCTGTAAAAGATCTGATTATTGAAACACTTTCACACTACACTGACTTTGTGGTTACTTTTGCTGGCAGATGGCAATCACTGAGACACTAACAGAAAACAATTGCAATGTCTCAGCTGACCCAGTCACGTGACAAATTTATCAGAGAATAAACACAATCTAAAATCTTGGTTTTTATTTACATAGAGTTTTAGTCAGTTTTTCAAGTACTGATTTTTCTAGATATTTAAAATCCTCATCAATATTAGTTAGCAATGAACCATTCCATGTATAAACCAACCTATTCTTTATCTTGAAGGTCATTTATAATGTACAGTTACAGAAGTGTCAAGACTTCCTATGATTTTCTAGCTAAAATGACTGTGGCTATTCCTTTGTTAAAAAAAAAATCTTGATGTGAATTTGATTCTTGGGACTAGAAGATCAAATTGAACATATTTGACAACTTTCTGATATGAGAAGAGTATATTTCAATATTTTAATAATAAAATTTAAATTAATGAATCAGGCAAGAATTCTTTGAGACTCTGCTACATACCATATTCTGGGAACTCAGAATACAGCAGAGAACAAGATAAACAAGGCCCCACTCTCACAGAGCTTATGGCAGTCCACGTGATGTGAAGAACAGGCAGTAATCAAGTCAACACATACAACTAATTCTGGCAAGTTCTGGGAAGGAAATAAAGTGACTTGGAGCACAAACCTATTCTGGGGGGTGGTGGGGGACATCAGGGGAGCCCTTGGAGAAAGTGATACTTGAATGAAGATCTTAAGGATGATGTGCCCGTGACTTGACGAAATGGGAAAAGAACATTTCGGGCGGAGAAAGAGAAGATGCTGTGCAGCCTGAGCTTGGGAGTGTCTATTAGATATTTTGGGGGGCTACTGAAAGGGCAGGTGGCTATGTAATTTGAGAACTCCAGGAAAAGGTGGAGATAAGGATTTCAGAGTCACTGGATGTGATAAGGCAACGGGACTAGAAGAGATAACAAGGGGTGAGTGAGACACAGAGGAAGAGAGAACAGGGCTAAGGACCAAACCCAGGAGTGCACAAATATTCTGTGGATTGACAGAGGAGGAAATGCAGTAAGGAAATCGAAGAAGGGGCTGCCAGTGAAGAGAAGGAAAATACAGGAGTTTAGTATCACTGAAGCTGATAAGTGTTTTAAGATAGGGATGGTCAGCTATATCTAATGCAGCTGATAAGTAAGATAGAACTAACCACTGGTTGTCGCAAATGGAGGAGTTTGATAAACAAGGTGTTTATAAGAACACTTTTGGTACAAAAGACAGACTGTAGTAGGCTGAGGGGTGAATGGTGAACAACTTCTGGTTTCAAATAATTTCTGTGCCTCTTCTCTCACAAACAGTACAAAGACGACAAAGCAAATGGAAAACAGAAACAAACTCCAAGGTCACTGAAACCAGAAACTGTAATCCTGAGCCATGCTAATAAAATGGAAAGCTTACTGAGTGATTACAAACCACTCTGCATATAAGCAGCATTAAGTCCAAATGCCTGCAGAGAGTTCTGTGGGACTCAGATAAGCACAGGGACTAGAGCAAGCTTGTCCAACCTGAGGCCTGCTGGTCCAACATGTGGCCCAGTACAGCTTTGAATGTGGTCCAACACAAATCCTTAAACTTTCTTAAAGCAATTATGAGGTCAGGCGCAGTGGCTCATGCCTGTCATCCCTGCCCTTTGGGAGGCCAAGTTGGGTGGATCACACAGAGGTCTGGAGTTTGAGATCAGCCTGGTCAACACGGTGAAACCCTGTCTACTAAAAACACAAAAATTAGCTGGTGTGGTAGCACATGCCTGTAGTCCCAGCTACTCAGGAGGCTGAAGACACAAGAATCGCTTGAACCTGGGAGGTGGAGGTGGAGTGGGTCAAGATCATGGCATTGCACTCCAGCCTTGGTGATAGAGTGAGACTCTGTCTCAAAAAAAAAAAAAAAGTTATGAGATTTTTTTGCTATTTTTTTTTTAAAGCTCATCAGCTATTGTTAGTGTTAGTGTATATTATGTGAGGCTGAAGATAATTCTTCTTCCAGTGTGTCACAGAGGAGTCAAAAGACTGGACACTCCTGGACTACAGGGTCTAGGCCATGTGGAAGGAGGAGAGAGGTAGAGGGTTACTTAAGTCTGGGTTAGAGGCACCCCAGTTCATCCCCATGCTCCACGAACCCTTTCTCTCCTCCACAGAGAAAAGGGAAAAGCTCTGCGGGGCGTGAACCAAGGAGGGTCTATGTGGGTAGGGAAGGCCCAGGCCTCTGCACAGGCAGATTGCATGCATTTCATGCGGCTATCAGCATAGGGGTTCCAGAAAACAACAGAGGGAATATGAGGGAAAGAATATTACATTTAAAGAGATAAATAGCTGAGCATTTTCTAGAATTAATAAAGAATATAAGTCCTCAGAATGAAAGTGGAAAAGTCTCTAAAAGGATGCTAAAATGAAATTTACATCTAGCTCCACTGTGGTGAAACGAAAGAAATCCTTAAAAGCAACCAGGGACAAAATGCAGATTGTTTAGAAAGAAAAAATAAACTCTTAGCAAATAACAGCAAAAAAAAAAAAAAAAAAGCTATAAGATACTTGGGAATAAATCATATATATATATGGCCATAACAGAAAAAAATGAAAAAGGATAGTAAGGGATTAAAAAAAAAATCCTAGTGATAACAAAGATACCGCTTCCATGAATAAAAAGATGCAAAACTGTTAAGATACCAATTTTCATCAAATTAATACATAAATTAAATATTCAAAATAAAATCTTAACAGGGTGTTTTGTTGGAATGTAAATGCCAAATCCTCAAGTTCATGCTGAATATTTAAGGTTTGCATTTTAAAAACATTATGTTAAGAGAAACAAGCCAGACCCTAAACCTGAAAACATGATTCCACTTCTGTGAATGGATGAATCTAAACCACACACTAAACAGTAAAACAATACAGCAAAGTGCAAAGATGATGACTATGTGTGCCAGAGGGGTCACAGGAGGGAGGGTGAAGGAAGGGAAAGGGATCACAGGAGGGAGATGGGAAGGAGAAAGAGAGGTGGGAAGGAAGGGAGCACCGTGGGCTGCAGGGCTGGCCAGGCACGGTCTGCATGATGGATTATGGGTATATTTGCTTTACAGTGATTTGCCCAGCTTCGTGACAGCTACAGTTTGTGTTGTGTATCACAATAAAAAGAGTTAAAAAACAAAGAAATAAAAAAATCCAGAAAAGCCAAGCAATTTTTAAAGAAGCATAAGTCCTATCAGATTTCAAGACATACTATAAAGTTTGGCTAACTAAAACAGCATGGTCTTTATCTAGAGTTATTTAAATAGACCAAGAGAACAAGAGCCTAGAAATAGTCTCCTCTGTGTAAGGGCACCTGGTATTCAGCAGACATCGGTAGATTGGGAGGAAAGGGGCACACAGGTTATATACAAGGAAGAGACAGAACAGGACCTTCCTGACACCAAACATAAACTTGCAATGGAGTAAGTGCTCAAATAGAGTTCACAAAACTGTAAATCTTTCTGCACAAAATACAGAAGAAATACCTTTTTGGCACTGGGGTGGCAAAATATTTTAAAATAAGAAACATAAGGCACAAACTAGAAAAGAAAACACACATTGGTCTGCTTTACAATGTAAAAGCTATAGTATGCCAAAAGCTACCATCGATGAAGTAGAAACATAAGTAAGAGGGCTGAAGGTGGTCTCAGAATTCATATAGCCAAAAAACGCATCCAGAACATATCAAGAAACCGTAGAAATGTGTACGAAAAAGATAACCCAGTTTTAAAAGCATACGAAAAGGTAATTTCAGAAGAGAAAACTCAAATGGCTAATAAACTCATGAAAAGATATCTATGTTCACTCGTTTTTAGGGAACTGAAAGCTAAAATGAGCAATCTTCAATACAGTAACAATTGGCAAAAATGTAAATGTCTCCTATCATTCAGTTTTATCTCTCTCTCTTTTTTTTTTTTTTTTCCATTTTGTGGAGAATGGGGTGTTGCCATGTTGCCCAGGTAAGTCTTGAACTCCTTGGCTCAAGTGATCCTCCTGCCTTCTGCCTCCCTAACTACTGGGATTCTGGTGCGAGGTTTTGCTAAGGCTGGAAGGAACAGAGAACTCTCACACAGTCCTGAGGGAAGGTGAAGCTATGGCTTCTCTGGGGAGCGATGTGGCAACACCAAGTAGAGCTGACGTGTGCTTTGAGGCACATTCCACTGCAGCCCTGCATTCGGGAGAGAGGAAGCAGAAACAAATCATCCCGAGTAGGGGAACAGCTGCAGAGTGGGTATTCACACAACACAATACCATACAGCCATCCAGATGAACCCCATGTGCATGTACTGAGTTTAAAGTGGAATGAAAAATACACATAAAACATGTCACATGTTACACTCATCTTCTTACAAAATTTCGAAAAACAAAATAACAGTCTATGCCATTTGTGGATGCATCTGTCTGTAGTAACTACAGAATCACAGAAAGCAGCGTTTGCTATAGAAGGCTGATGGTGGATGGGGTGGGGGGTAAGGGTGGCATTCTCTGTAACAAATACATATTTTTAATGAAGAGATATATAAGAAATCAATATGGCAAAAAAAAAAAGTAATGAATTGGAGGCAAGGAAGTAGAAATCCCTTTTCTGAAGCTCTGATAGGAAGGAAAACAAAA